TGTGTCCTGGGAGTGCTTGTCCACGAAGGTCGCAGCAGTTATCGACGGGCAATTTCACTTTAGGACACCATGCTGTCACGAAACTCGATTGCACTATAAATTTTATAATTCTGCATTTTATGTTCTGAACGTTACTTCAACTGATTATTTTTCCAACAATCTAAAGTGAAATTAATTTATAATTAGTTGCCATGTCTGCCGTAGATATATATGTTCCTAAGTATTCTGAAAAATCTGAGTTGCTTGATGAAAAAATTTTAAAAGATGACAAATGAAACTGGGATTTAATTTGACAACTCTTAAAGTCGTTGATGCTATTGAATCAAATAAACCTGTTTTTGCAATTGCTAATAATCCTACTGATAAGGAAACAGAAGATTTAGCTAATTGAAAACATAAGGATTATATGTGCAGGAATTATATTCTGAATTGTTTGACGTTAGATTTATATGATGTTTACTTGTCGTGTAAATCTACAAAAGAATTATGGAATTCCTTAGAAAAGAAATATTTCTACAGAAGATGCTGGAACCAAGAAATTTGTTGTGGGAAAGTTTCTACGTTTTAAAATAAATGATGTTAGAACTGTAGTTAGTCAAGTTGAAGAATTGCAGATTATAATTCACGAAATTATTGTAAAAGGATATAAAATTTGTGAGAACTTTCAAGTGTCAGCTATAATTGAAAAATTACCACATTTTTGGAAAGAGTATAAAAATGGTTTGAAGCATAAGAGAAAAAAAATGTCCTTAGAGGATCTGATTATCAGGATTAGAATTGAGGAAGACAATAGAATGACAGAACGTAAAGAAAGGGTAGATTTTGATACCAATGCTAATCTTATCGAAGGAAATTCTGGCAGTAAGAAGTTAGTTGGAAATTTTACCAGGGGTCAAAATTTTGAAGGCAGAAACAAGGGAAAACAATGTGGCTCGTCCGATGGGCCAAAAATAGTTCGCTAACCTCACCTCAGTTAAATTTACGTTCGGCTCATACTCCCAGGTCGGACATACCCGCCGTTATCTTAGAAAAACATCATGATTACCCCTTGTCACATTACCCTATCAATCAAATACACTTGCCACAAGTGACATCATCGCCGCCCGGAACAACCAATTCCAAGTCCTCGAACTCCAGCCCCTTGCAGGTCATCATTACGTGGGTAACACGTTGACACATGACCACCGGCCTCATCGACCAATCACAGGAGAATTCAGCGACCCGAGTTTCGAGCTCGAAATTGTTACTGATTTAACCGATTTGATGTAATTTCGGCTGAAACTATGTATAAATAGTTGAATAGGACTCTTGTAAAAGGCAAGTGAATTCATATAATGACTCATGGCACAATCACACTTTAAAGACATTTTTTGTGGTCTTTTTCAAGAATAAATCACATTTTTTCTTAAAGTTGGTTCAAAATTATCCTTGCTAATTTTGTCGTTAACAGTTTGGCGCTAGAATGAGGGCCCTAATTGTGAAAAATAGTCTCATTCGCTACACAAAATTTCAAGAGCCATGAGTCATAACTCAAGTTCCAAAAATCCATCTCAAACCCACTGGCATAAAACGAATACACCACTGAGTCCTCCACAACGGCAGGACTCTCAAATGACCGCAATGAGGAAAGCCCTGGAAAAATTGACAAATGCAGTGGGACGACTGGAAAGAAGCCAAGCCCATTCGTCCCCACCAGATACCGAAGTGGAATCCCCTGTAAGGACAAAGGCAAAGCGTTCCTCCACCCAGAGGACTCTCCACTTTTCAAGAAGAGAATCATTAAGAAGTCAAACTGACGAGGCCAAAAGTAAGGAACCCGGGGCAAGGAGGACCGCAAGTGTGTTCGACTGATTGGGGACCCATCACTCGCTGACTCCTACGCAAGGACAAACCGACCTGAAACGTCATTTCGAACAAATAGAATATGAACTAAGCGCGCTTAAAAATGCATCGCCGAACTAGAGGCTAAAAACAATGGTGGCACTGAAGGTTACCAAACCAAACGACATTCTCCCTTCACTGAGGATGTCCTTATGGAATCATTACCTGAAAAATTGAAAATTCCCCAGATCGTCGCATACGAAGGGGATGGTGATCCCCTCAGCCACCTTGACAAATACATCTCGTGGATGGAACTACAGGGGACAAGCAGCGCAATCATGTGCCGGGCATTTCCCCTGACTCTGGGAGACGAAGCCCAAAGATGGTTTAGGAGACTACACGAGAGGTCAGTAAGAATTGGAATGATCTGGCCACGGCATTCTTGGCCCAATTCATGGGCTCCAAGGCTAGAACCACACCTAAAGGATGTCTAGTGAGCATCAAGCAGGGAAGAAGTGAATCCCTCAAAAGCTATCTGCGCAGGTTCAACAAGTAATCCATGGAAGTGGAAAAAATATCTGACGATGTGGCACTCATGGCCGTATTAGCAGAACTAAGGCCCAAAACGAGATTCTGGTGGTCAGTACATGAAGACGGTCCAAGGACTTATCGCGAGTTCCTGAATCGAGCTGAGAAATAGATAAGCGCTGATGAAGCAACCTATGACCAAGAAGAAGCAAGACGCGAAACTGACCTCAGCGATACGGTGAAAGAAAAAAAACCAAGCAAGAGTCCTTAGCCCAAAAGAAAGAAGGATAGGAGAGAAAGAGAACATCCCAGGGCTCAGTCATACAAGTTCCGGGAGTACCACCCACTCAAAGCTTCCTTGGAAGAGATATTCACGCAAGCCAATACAAAAGAGGCATTTCGCAGACCTATAATCCTAAAGGATGGATAGGCAGGACAACGCCAGGGACGATACTGCCGATACCACAGGACGATGGGCCATGACACTGATAAATGTCGGGACTTAAAAGAGGAAGTTGAATCCTTAATTCGAAGAGGTCGGTTACAGTAGTTTGTTGCCAAGTCAAAAGAAGCAGATCGACCTACGACGCAGTAGCCACTGCTACAGGGGGCTCCCACACAAGCCCAGCAGGCGATCCCTAACCGTAACCCACCTCCACATGTCGAAATCAAAATGATGGTGGGCGAAAATCAGTATATTGAGGGATCCAAAAGGGCCAGGCGAAGGCAAGCCCGAAGTGTAAAAACCGTGCCGAACTACTGGAATCAAACCCCTAAGACCGGCATAGACCTTGAATCGTTTTGGTTCATGGAAGAAGATTCTAAAGGAATCCTTCAAGACCAGAGTGACGCCCTGGTGGTCACAATGACGGTTGCCGGAGTAAAAGTCCACCGCACTCTAGTGGACAATGGAAGTTCGGTCAATATACTGCACTCACAAACCTTGAGGCAGTTGGAAATATCAGTCCGCTACCTTCAACCGTACCCAAGGAAGCTACAGGGATTTTCTGGGGATCCTATTGAAGCCCTAGGTCAGATCGTCCTTATTGTGGAGCTGGGCGAAGCTCCTCGCCAAAGAAGGATACTAGTGGATTTTGTGGTGGTCGATTTGCCATCTAATTACAATGCAATATTGGGATGATTCATTTTGCACGAACTAAAAGCTGCCACGTCAATTTATCATTATTGCGTGAAATTTCCCACTCCTTACGGGACTGGAATTATCCGAGGATATCAAGCTACTACAAGGGCTTGCAACGTCGACCTGCCAAGGCCACAAGTCAAAATGCTAAGGAATAGGACGAACACGCAAGCTAAGGAAGCCAAATTGAAGAGATCAATTGTTGCAGATCTCTCGAAGATCGGCATAACTGAAAAGAACCTCAAAAAAGCCACAGATGAGCAACTGTCCTTTTACGAGAAGGAGACGGACCCACATCCTTACCACGGAGTTCTGGTAATCTCATTGCCTGTGGTCGGGGTAACCATCCCCAAAGTCTTGGTGGACACAGAAAGCGCTCTGAACATCATATTCAACAACACCCTTAAATGGATGGGTATCCTTACTAACTTCCTTTGACCATACCCAAATATGGTCCTAGGATTAAGCGGAGCCTTGACTTCTGCCAAAGGATCAATCAAACTCAAAGTTGAGTCAGGATCAGCACCCCGGCAGGTGAAGACGAACTCCGAGTTCATGGTGTTTGACACCCCCTCTCCTTACGACGCTGTGATGGGATAGCCCCTACTCTTCAGCCTGAGAGCAGCAGTTTCCCTATATCACTATTCTATCAAGTTCCCTATGCCCCATGGTGTGGGGGAAAGTCAAAGGAAACAGGGAGCTCGCTGAAAGATGTCAATGAAAAGCCTGTGCCAACCATTAACGCAGCTTCCCGGGAGTACATATGGCAAATATATGGGAATCCAAACTCATTCCCTTAGACCCACGGACCAGGATTGAAGACGGAGAACCCGTTGAAGAACTAGAAGGAGTTTGAGTCTGTGCCAAGGACCAAACAAAGGAGCTCAAAGTCGGGTACGAGCTGCAGCTCTCCACCCGAAGCAAGATTGTGGCTTTCCTTAAACAAAACCTTAATGTCTTCACTTGGGATCACAGTAACATGAGATGAATAGATCCCAGAATAGCATGCCACAAATTACAGGTGGATCCTTCAGTTCGGCCAAAGCAGCAAAAACGACGACCTCTGAACCCTGAAAGTTATGAAGCACTCAACAAGGAGGTGCAAAAGCTATTGAACAACGGTTTTCTCCATGAAGCAAAATACCCGAAGTGGGTCGCGAATCCGGTCCTTGTGAAAAAACACAACGGAGATTGGAGGGTATGCATAGATTTCACCGATCTCAATAAAGCATGCCCCAAAAACAGCTTTCTATTGCCGAGAATAGATCAAACGGTGGACGTCACTACCGGACACGAACTACTCAGCTTCATGGATGTGTATTCCAGATACAACTAGATACCGATGTATGGCCCTGATCAGGAACATACCTCGTTTGTAACTGACCGAGGTCTTTACTGCTACAGAGTAATGTCATTTGGTCTCAAAAACGCTGACGCCACCTACCAACGACTTGTGAATTTCATGTTTTCCCAGCAAATCGGAAAGACAATGTAAGTGTATGTTGATGATATGCTGGTCAAAAGCATCAAGGCCAAGGACCGCTGTCAGCACCTGACCGAAATGTTTGATATACTGAGGAAATATGAAATGAAGTTGAACCCGAGGAAATGTGCTTTCGGGGTCAGTTCTGGAAGATTCCTAGGTTACATTGTAAACAACCGAAAAATCGAGGCAAATCCTGAAAAAATACAAACTCTCATCCAAATGAAGCCTCCAACCAAACCCAGAGAGGTACAAAGTTTAATCGGAAGGGTATCCGCCCTCAGTCGGTTCGTCTCCAAGTCTACGGACCACTGCAAACCCTTCTTCGACACGTTACGAGGAGGAAAGAAGTTCGAATGGACCAAAGAATTCCATGACACCTTTAACGAGTTAAAGAGACAATTAGCCCGGTCTCTATTGCTTTCAAAACCTAAGGCAGGCGAGACCCTAAAACTATATTTATCTATTTCAGAGCATGCCATTAGTGTCGTTCTAACCCAAGAAGAAAATGGCATTCAACACCCGGTTTATTACGTAAGCAAAGCTCTTCACGAAGCTGAGCTCAGATATTCGCTTGTAGAGAAATTGGCATTCACCCTACTGACGGTAGGGCAAAAACTGAGGCCATATTTCTTGGAACACCCCATTGAGGTCCTTACCAACTCTTCATTGAGGCAAACGCTGCAAAGGCCCGACACCTCTGGTTGGATGGTAAAATGGGCAGTAGAACTTGGACAATTCGACATCAAATACACGCCTTGTTCCTCCATAAAGGCCAAGCACTCATCGACTTTGTCTCTGAGTTCTACAACGTCCTAATTGGGGAACAACAGAATGAAACCCCTTGGAAACTTTATGTCGACGGTTCATCTACCGGAGAACGATCTGGAGCCGGCGTCGTATTAATCATCCCTGATCATCGTATATTCTATAAAGCATTGTCATTTAACTTTAAAGCCTCAAATAATGAGGCTGAGTATGAAGCTCTCATTGCCGGAGCAAGGATGGTCTCAGGGTTAGGGATCTCCGACCTGATCCTACACAGCGACTCCCAACTAGTCGTGAATCAGGTCAACGGTGTATATATGGCGAAAGAAGACAGGATGGAATTACCTACGAGTTGTGAAAAAAGAACTTGAAAAGTTCAACACCACCCAAGTCAAAACAAATTTCGTGATCTCAGAACGGTCACGTCGATGCACTGGCCCGTCCAACCACCAGTGAGGGAATCGAAGAGTTTGATAGCATCCCCATAGAAAGAATATCCCTACCGTCCACCGAGCTAGCTAAAGTGGTCCTTATGATGATATACCCCAAACCAACTTGGCAGGACGATATCATCGCTTACCTGAAAATTGGGAAATATCCCTAAAACTCTGCAGAGGCTAGAAAGCTCCGAATAAGGTCGGTCAGGTATACACTCATTGATAATATACAATACAAATGGGGATATTCTACACCCTTGTTAAGGTACTTGAACGAAGGAGAAGCTCAGCACGCCCTGCAGGACATTCACGAAGGAATATGTGAAAACCATTCCGGTAGACTCTCACTAGTCCACAAGATCATACAACAAGGATACTTTTGGCCTGCAATAAGACGTGATTTCCTTGAATTTGTCAAAAGATGTGACAAGTGCCAGCGCTCGTCCCCATCGTAAATACTCCACCGCGCGAACTGAACCCAGTAACAACACCTTGGCTCTTTGCAAAATGGGGGATCGACCTAATTGGACCCATGCCCATTGGAAAAGGAGGGGTAAAATTTGTCATCGTCGCAGTGGATTACTTCACTAAATCGGCCGAGGCAGAGCCAATTGTCACCATCACGAACAAAAAACAACCAAATTTTTGTAGAAGTCAGTGATCTGCAAGTTCGACATACCTCACTCCATTGTTACGGACAATGAAAAATAGTTCGACAATGCACGAATTTCAGATTTTTGCGAAGAGTTCGGCATCAAGAAACATTTCTCATCACCGAACCATCCACAAACAAACAGCCAAGTCAAAGCCATTAACAAGATTATTAAGCACATATTGAAAGCAAAACTTGACTTGTTTAAAGGAAGATGGCCGAAGAACTCCCCAGTGTGCTATGGTCTTATCGCACTACTGCAAGGACAAGCACGGGAGAAACCCCGTTCTCACTGGCTTTCAGCGTAGAGGCCATGATCCCACTAGAAGTCAGCATTCCCTCACTGTGCATAACTGATTATGACGAAGAAATGAACCACATAGCTCTTCGCACGAAACTCAACCTAACTGAGGAGAAAATGAACAACGCCGAACTCAAGAATGCCGTTTACAAACAGCTGAATGCCAAGTACTACAATCAAAAAGTGCGAAAGAGAAAATTTGAGGTAGGATCCCTCGTCTTACGAAAGGTATTCCTCCCCAAAAGAGAGATCGGTAGTGGATGCCTGGGTCCGAATTATGAAGGTCCCTATCATATAATGAAGGTCCTGCTAAAAGGGGCATATGAACTGGAAGACTTGGGGGGTAGACCCTTACCCCACCCTTGGAATGTTGAACACCTTTAGCAGTACTATCAGTGAATGGGAAAAGCCCATATAAAGCCCCCCTTGTAAAGTCAATCACATCAATAAAAAGAGACTTTCTATTTTTGAACATTTTATTCAGCAATTTGTCAGAATCTTACAAAGCCCTGCTCTATACGCAGGCCGATCTAAGGTCATGCCGATCTAAGGTCGTATGTGCTGCGACACTTAGTGGAAAATTCCTCCTAACAAATCTTATAAAACCCTGCTCCATACGCATGCCAATCTAAGGTCGTATGTGCTGCGACACTTAGTGGAAAATTCCTCCTAACAAATCTTATAAAACCCTGCTCCATACGCATGCCAATCTAAGGTCGTATGTACTGCGACACTTAATGGAAAATTCCTCCTAAAGAATCTTATAGAGCCCTGCTCCATACGCAGGTCGATCTAAGGTCGTATGTGCTGCGACACTTAGTGAAAAATTCCTCCTAAGAAATTTTATAAAGCCCTGCTCCATACGCAGGCCAATCTAAGGTCGTACACAGTGCAACCCTTAGTGGAAATTTTCAATGCCCTGCTCTACACGCAAGACGAGCTAAGCCCGTACGCGGTATTACACTTAGTAAAAATGCCCAATGCATAAGCCTGGTTTGGAAAGCAGGTACTGCACAACTAGATAAAATTCATTCAAGGTAATTCTACATGCTACTGTGACACTCTTACAAATTTAGCTAAATATTTAAAAAAAAAAAAAAAGATCTCTACTAAAGAAACTGTATTGAGCATAAACAGTTATCCATTCCAAACAAAATGCCATAAAATGTCAAAACAAAGTTCATTCATAAGCCAAAAACATATTGCAAAACTAAATACCAAAAATAATGTTTTTTTAACCACCTAGGGGTCTTGGGGGACTGGGGTACTATCCTCAACATCGTGGGCTACTGGTAACACCCGGACTCCAGCAGTCTCAGGCAACCTTCGCAGCTCCTCCTTCTGCCCCTCCAGCACCTTATCCAGAAAAGCCACATTAATATCAAGCCTCTCCCTCCTGATGTGCCCCACCAGCTCCTCCAGTGCTACCACATAGACATCTTGGGCTACGACGTCAAACTTGGAGGACTCCTTCCAAGCCTCCACCGCTCTATCAACCTTGGCCTCAGCCTCTTCAGCCCTTTTGGTGGCCTCCCTTACCCTTTTGTTGGCCTCTTGTACCTTCGGATGGTCTCCTTGACTTTGCCGCACTTCTTATCAGCTTGAGCTCTGGCCTCTTCCTCCGAGGCCCTCAATACCCTTATCTCCCCCATCAATCTTTCCTCGACATCGATCCTAGAGTTCAGCTCGATCCCCATCTGATTCAGCTTCTCTTCATACTCCTTCTCACTCAGAGCAAACTGGGTCTTTTCAGCCTCCATGCTGTTATAAAGATAGAGGCCTGATCCTTTACCTCTATAAGTTTGTCCAGCTCAGACTTCACCTGTTTTTCAAAAATCAAAAATCAAGTAAGTCATTAAAACAGTTGCTCAAAAAACCTTAAAGTAAGAAGTATACCTTATCCGCCACTGCCATCATGTATAAAATTGATCGGTGACCATGGAGCTAAGTAGTGACCAAGGCCTCACCAATGGGCATCTCATTCAAGTAGCCCTACTCTCTCTCACCCTAATTTCGGGTAAGCAGATTGGCTGACTCCCTCAATGGTGAAGTGAGTGCGACAGTCATCCCCCTAGAAGGAGAAGGAGCTTGGAGATAATCTAAAAATATCTCTGGTTGGTGTCCCACCAAACTTTCCCAGCTCGACCTCTGTAAATCTGGGCACCTATCCTGCAAGTTCACAGAAGTGGTCCCAATAGTAGAAGGTGCAGCTGGGGAAGGCAAAGAAGGAGACGACAGAGTAGGGCTCGGTAAAAGCACTGCCTCAGGAATCCTCAGTGCTACCGGGGGCGCAAATCGGTTCCTCTTCAGTGGAACCTCCTCCTCCACCTCTTCAGAACGTCTCTCCAACCGTTCTGGGACATCTCTCTTTTTTCCTTTGGCCACAGTCGCTGCCTTGTAGCCTCGCATCTCGTCTTGATGAGCTGAGAAAACAGCGAAACACTCAATAAATATGTATATACATAAAGAAACCACAACCGCGAACGAGGGTTAAATATTACTTAAACTGGAAGGAGCCCAACTTGAAGCTCCTATTTGCAACAAACCAGCCCGGTATAAGTTCGAATCTGAGATCACAAACTTGAAGGACCTTTGCTTTTTAGGTAATGATCTTATTACCTCAGCTCGTCTCTGTGTATCTTTGGTTAACGTCTCATTCTTGTAATCTGCTCAAAGGAAAAATACCGAGGTCAATACTTCATCAACATACGCCTTGCTAAAAGACTAAAGCCCAAAAAACACTTGCATAAAGAATGATAGAGCCTGGGAACCACGTCCTCCCTATTTACCTTGGCAGAATGAAACTGCCACTCCCCCAATACATAGAACCACTTTTCCTTCCATTTCCTAATTGAGGAAGGGGTGTCTAACACCGGAGAACCTCCCGTCCTAGGCCTAACGCTTCTGTACCACCAGCTTGAGTTCTTCCCATCCTTAAAAGTAAATAGATAATCGAACTGCTGGACACTTAGCTTGGGATTCCCCATTTGGTTCCATAGAATAAGGACGGTTATTAAGGTTCACTACCCGTTAGGGCATAGCTGCGAGAGCTATGCCCCAGGAAGAAAGGAATTTATGAATCGCCCTAGGAAAAGGAAGCCTAAGGTCGGCCTGAAGGATAGCCGAGTTCAGAGCGACACATCCCTCAGGAGGAGTGTCAGCCCGGTTAGATGGTTCTGGTATTATCATCACTACCGAACTAGGGAAGGCGTGTTTAGCTCACTAGCTGGCCAACATATCCTCTGTTACAACCGACCTATAAGAACTCGCCCCCCACACCCCAGAATTACTTTCCTCAACATCCTTACTGGATCTACCCGCTCCCTTAGAACCCTCACATCCGAAGTCCGTGACAGGACGCCCTAAGTCGATCGGGTTAGTTATGAAATAGGAACAGGGGTAAAAACTTCCCTACAACTAGAAGACGAACTCATCGAGAAAGGGACTGACTCTTCCTACTGGTTTCCCCAACTCTAGACTCATCCAAACTCATGTATAAACTAGGAAACAAAGCATAAACGGAAAGGAGGAAGTGGACAAGAACAGAAGAATACCTGGGAAATGAACTGGGAAAACGACCTCACTTGAATATGGAAATACGAACTCGGGAGATTGCCCAAATATTTGAGAAAATAAACCAGCGAAATAGGAGGAAAATGACTGGCTAAAAAGGAATTTAAAGAAAGAGAAGCTGAGAGGGCGCGATCTAAACCGCCCATCCAGAAATGGAGGAAAAAAAACCAACGGATCAAAAGCCTGAGAGACAAAACAACGTAGTTTTATCCAAGTTTGCTGAAGAAGCTACTTATAAATGGCGTACAACTCATCCCCATCAAAAGATGACACTTGTCACAGCAATAAATGTACTTCTTGGAGAAAGCATCACTGAGGTCAACCCCCCCCCCCCCACGATAGAGCTGACCTGGGGGTAACTATTGACATCCGAACTCCAACCTAATAAAAACAGTTCGCTGACCCCACCTCAGTTAAATGTAAGTTTGGTCCATACTACCAGGTCGGACATACTCGCCATTATCTAAAAAAAATCATGTAGACCCCTTGTCACATCACCCTATCAATCAGATACACTAGCCACAGGTGACATCATCGTCGCCCGGAACAACCAATTTCAAGTCCTCGAACTCCAGCCCCTTGCAGGTCATCATTACATGGGTAACACATTGACACATGACCACCGACCTCATCGACCAATCACAGGAGAATTCGACGATCGGAGTTCCGAGCTCAGCACTGTTGCTGATTTGACTGATTTGATGTAATTTCGGCTGAAACTATGTATAAATAGTTGACTAGGACTCTTGTAAAAGGCAAGTGAATTTATATAACGACTCATGGCACAATCACACTTTAAAGACATTTTTTGTGGTGTTTTTCAAGAATAAATCGCCTTTTTTCTTAAAGTTGGTTCAAAATTATCCTTGCTAATTTTGACGTCAATAGAATGGGCAAGAGAAAAAATTGTAGATCAAAATTAACATTGA